TAATCAGATGATGAACATATCTTTGAACACACTGATGCCAATGTCTTGCTTCCTGAAACTTGTAGTGTTAATAAAGCCACTCTCTAAATCAAAGCTGTAGAATCAGCGATATATAAATATCAGAAGTGATGATCAGAAATCAGAAATACTTTATTGATACCTGAGGGGAAACTTTGATACATTACAGTCATCCTCATTTATAGCAAAACGAATTATAAGACAATAGGAATAAGAGGTATGAAATATGGCATGAAGTATGTAAATATAAAAATGTGTGCATTATGCCACAATGTTTAAAACTAGAAGGTACGTTTTTAAGAAATGCAAAAATGTGTGTATTATGCTACAATGTAATAAGTATAAATATGTGTGTCTGTACGTGTGTGCATCATGCATTCAAGAGTAGTGTAAGTACGAATAAATGAGGATACTGGATATTTCACAGTTAAATAACTTCTGTATTGGGGCAGTTGAATTATTGCACCAATTACTACAGTTAAGACAGTGCTGTACAGAATTACTGTAATGCTAAGTCATTATTGCACAGTTGAGAATATGATAAATTAAATTCTGGCATTTTTACTGCTGATGGGTGAATTAAGTCCATGCGCCAGTCCATTGACTCAAACTGTCTGACACTCGAGGGAGAAGTTGAAAAGTTTGATGGCCTCAGGCAGGAATGACTTCCTGTGGGGCTCTGTGGTGCATTTTGGAGGGAGAGTACCTATTGCTTTTGTTGGTTGGGTTAGTTAGGTTTAGGCAAGAGAAGTGGGACTGGTAAGGGTTAGAATGTCAGGGTAAACCAATGAGAGGCAGATTATGTCAGAATAGGGCAGGTCATGCCTTCACCATTTTAGGAAATGCAAATCTGCTCCCTAGAGTGTCATAATTTGGCACAAAAAACAATTGTTGCTATTTGACGAGTAAGGACTGAGAATGTGTTTGAGTACAGCGTTAACAGTTTTACCTGAGGACACTGACTAAATCTCTCTCCTATTCCTCTCTGTTCTCTGTCCCCTCTCTGTGGCTCCCAGACAGCTCAGACGGTCCTGGTGGTGGTAGTGGTGTTCTGCCTCTCTTGGCTCCCTCATCACGTTGTACACCTGTGGGTGGAATTTGGGACCTTTCCGCTGAACCAGGCCTCCTTCGTGTTACGGGTGGCTGCTCACTGCCTGGCGTACAGCAACTCATCTGTCAACCCGGTCATCTACGCCTTCCTGTCGGAGAACTTCAGAAAAGCTTACAAGCAGGTGTTCAAATGCCAGATTGGCACCAGTGACTCCCCGCTCAACGACATCAAGGACATCCGCAGCAAAGCGGACACTCCACCCTCGACTAACTGCACCAACGTCTGATTGTGGTGTCGATGGTGACATGAAAATGAATTACGGCTACTGTCACACTGAAACTCAATGTAAAGTCAAAGTGACAGAGCCATCAGACATGAGTGGGTACGTGGATTTTTTTTGATGTAGGTAAGTATGGTTGCTTGGATATTGCTACAGCTGCACTGTTCCACATAAGCGCTGTTCATTAAGGACCAGAGGAGATAAAGCCACTGTGTCTGCAGGGCATCATTACTCCCTCTTTGATCAGTCTCTGTCTCCCTCTTTCATCATAAAAACCTGTGGAGTCTGAAACTCAGGAAGATGATCCTCTCTAAAGTGAAACTCATTTTGACTGTAGACGGTGTCACATCAGAGTATATTTACAAGACAATGCATTAAAGATCAGAGGTCATTTTACTTACAGACTTCAGAAGTATTCAAATTGGTAGACCTTTTTCAAGATCATTATTGCATTGTATTTAGTCACAGCATTATCACCTGTTGAAGTAAAACTGTTGTTTGAATGTGTCGTTGGTGGTTGGTGGGATATGCGTTCAGTTTGGTTAACCTGATGTAGGGGCTGGAGGCAGCAAGTCTCTATGAAAAGAGAAGAAATGCAGCTCCTGGTAACTCCAAAATAGTCGTAAATGTACATGTAATGAATTCAGGCGATTAACATGTGGTGAAGACCATACAGCTGAATACTGCTATCCATTTCAGAGTTGGAGGGTGTGTGAGCGGGACCCTGGAAACCGGTTTCACAAAGATGGGCTCTTACTAATGGTTAGACCTCAGATAGATTTCTAAATTAATCCATTGCACAAAGCTGTCTGACTATTTGAAAGATGACTAAATTGCCAAAAACTCTGGGTAAATTAAAACTTTTTTCAAACTAAAAAATATGACTGACTGAGCCACCACATCCATCTGCTCTGCTCCCCTCACTTCAGCAGAACATTTTTGCCCTAACGGAGAAATTCAGCAGAGGCAAGGACATTTTACTGGGTAATTAAGTCAGCTTGTAATACAGAAAATTCGAGTGGCCTGAAATCTCATCACGCCAGGGCCACACCGCCTGCGGAAGCACTGCGAATAGCCTCGAAGCGCCGAGAAGTGAAGGCAGTTTCCTTTCGGCGCCCATGTTAACCGACTGTGTCAGCCACACTGGCCGCTCCGCGCCGGGAAGCTCCGCGGCAGGCTCTCGATTTGCAGCGATCAGTTCTGCGTCTGGTCTATTTTCTGCACGAGCCGCGAGCGAATGTGTCAAGCCAGGCAGTGAAAAACAACAGCTGGGAGCAGAATCGCTTGTCGACGGCGTGGAGAAATGCGCGTCTGATGTGAACGGAGGTTCTCCAGCACGTGCGAGAATTTCGGTGCACTGCGCTTCGCAGGCAGTGTGGCCCTGGCGTCACACTGCACAATAGTGTAGCAAGGGAACTGCTCAATACATTTGCTGACTCATCCTTCAGACCCAGGAGGGTTTCCTTGGGCAAACATAAATGACTGATGATGTTTTCACTAAGTACATTTCCGATAGATTACTGTGGTCTCAAAAAACTCTGCCCCCTTGTCATAGCTCACTCCACAGCATTGTTAGCAGAATACAGATCATGAGCCATGTATTTGTTTTTTTGACTGTGGTTGCCTTTGGTCAGGTGTCACTGATTGCTACCATGGAAACCTGTGGCCAGTTGCACAAAACACCTTAAGATTTTCCTTACAGTCCTTGTTAAAGTTTCCTCAAAATAAGTCTTCTTCTTAATGTTTGCTTAAAATGTCCACTGCAGTATTCAGTTCACTTCAGTATTTTATCCTTGTCTTTGTCTTATACTTCTTTATCTTTATCTTTAGACCATTGCACAAAGGTGTTAGGGACCTCTGTATGTCTTAAGTGCAACATGACCAAACTTCTGGTGATAGATGAAAAAGAAAAAACTAACACACCCTGAGAGGGGTGTTCTGCGACCAGGAGAACCCACTGATACACTTTTGATTTTACACTTCAGCTGTAGTTTATTCCAACAATTGTTTTCTGTTTTCTGGTATTTGGGGATGAAATTTACTTTGTAGGTTTTGCCTTCTGTGACTGTATTGCTCCAGAACTATAATCTTTTCCTCCTCTGACCAATATGGTCTTCTTGTCTTCTTTCCTTATGCCATTTTTCGAGATGATAACAGGCATCACAAGCATGAGTCCAAGCAAACAAACAATCTCCATGGAAACTTTTACCACTGTAAGATTTCTTTGAACACAGTAAATGAGTTAACGTTTTTCCTTAATTAAGGGATGCAACTGTATAAGTCCCTCGGCTAAGGAGAAATTAAGCATTAAGTGTTACACTTAAAGAGAAAACTTAAGGTGTTTTATGCAATCCCTTAGATGCACGAGTGAGTGGACCCTACACTCTTCAATAAGTGGGTCAAAAATGACCCGTGTTAGAATCAATGTGTTTTTATGTCACTTTTGTCATTTTGGTTAAAATCATTTTTATTATATTTTGGTCCACATAACAATGATATTCATGGTTGAAATATTTTTATTTTTCAGTTTTGTTTTGTTTTTTTTTACATTTTTAACATTTTTAAAACATTTTGAAAATTGGAAACAAAAATTACACAACAGCAATGTCAACATCCATTTTGTGTGTGTGGTGTGTGTGTGTGTGTGTGTATGTGTGTGTGTGTGAAAGAGAGTATATGCGTGTGTGTGTGTGTGTAACTGTACAAACCTGTTCAGTTGGATTTCCAGGTGGACGACTGACACCTCCACCTGGACAATAGTCTGGGTCCTCATCGTCTGATATTTCAGATTCTGAGTCCAATCCCATAACTGCCTCTTCATTCAGCATCCTTACAACCATTTCAGCTGTATATCTCGCAGCCATAATACTTTGGATGAGGAAACATAAAACGAAGAGAATGTTTTGAATGACAAGCAAACCTATTGATCAGTATGTAGCTATATAAATAAATGCACACATGCATCCGCGCGCACACCGACACACATGCACACACCAGATAGGGAGTATACTGCGAAACTAGAGGCCATTGTCTGTGTGGTCCACAAAATATAAATTCCAGACAGTCACAGATGATAAGATTCAAAGGTTACCATGAAATTCCATAGGAAATGAATGCGGGTCATTTTTGACCCACTTATGGAAGCTTGGGGTAGTAATACAAAAACTATAATTTTGTAAAATGTATAAAAGGTAAGTGAAAAATTTCAATGGCATGATGTCAATAACAAGTTTTTTGAGGAACAGCTGGAATATGAAATGATAACAACTTTTCATTACGAAGATATCACAAGAAAACAACCTCACCGGGTCATTTTTGACCCACTTATGCATATAAGGGTTAAGGCATATCCACATTATTGTGGAAAAACTGCATTTGCACGTGCCTTCGCAAGTATTGTGTATGTGGTGTGTTGTAACAAATTGGCTGACCTTTTGTGGGCGTAGCCAATCGCTGTCAACCATTGTTTGAACTGAAAGGTGTATGAAATACAAATCAGTTGTGTTTCTGAATTTGCATAACTGTATGTGTCATAGCAAATTAGCCTCATATTGAGACCAGACTAGACTCACAAGTCAGTCTTTAGACACTTTGCTTAACTAAAGACTGATGACTTTCTCCCTGATTTTGTGTTTAGATGGGCGGATACAATTTCAGAGTTTAAAAAAACTCCCTATGCTGCAGAACCAATAGTAAATCCGCAGGGCGGCCCTTCGGTGGCTCGCTGAACTCTTCTGCTCGTAAACATAGTCCAACTAGAAACACGTATAGTGGTACAAAATGGCTCAAGTCGCTGTACGTCCTTCATTTCCACAATCTTGTGGACTAAGCACACGTTTGATAAAACGGAGTTAAATCTCTCGGCATCCATTTTCAAGCTCTTTGTGTGTTTGTTTCCTTGTGGACGAGAAAAGGGGGAGTGCACATTTCCGGGAGGGCGTGTCCTTTTCAAAAATGCAAGAGGCGTTGCTTTGTTGCCGGCCGTTTTCGCCGGTGTGTTAAACATACTTTAGAAAGGAGTGTCCCCAGACTATCAGAAGGAGGAGATCTCTGATTGTCTGGTGGCGAGACTGAGACCAGACAAAAATATATTCTCTAAAATGTAGGTATCTAAGGCTAGCAACGTTAGCAATTTAGCTAAGGTTGCGCCATTTAGTACAACATAGTTCTGGAGTAGTAAATAGCCATTGCACTGCTGTTGACCCTTGTTTTTCCACCGTAATGTGAATACACCGTTAGTTCTGTTGGCCTCAGGATAAGGCAGGTCATTCACAAGTTTTAAATAAGTCAGTCTTTATTTATGTCAAACTTCTAATTTACAATAGACTAATCTTAGAACAAAATTACAGCTTTATTAACAGTACAAGTAATGTCTTTGTGAAACCGGCTTCTGGGGTGCAGAATACAGCCATGGTACCTCCACATTATAGTCTGGCCCCTTGTTGAACGGCTACAACTTGCTCCTATTTCTTCACGTTAATGACAGGAGATGCCATGTGTGTGGACTGTGGAGTGTTTTTTGAGTTGTTGGAGCTGGGCTTAATATTAAAAGGAATGTAAAGACTAACTGCTGACGAAAGGTCGCCACTGTAGATAACAAAAAACTATCATTGTCATTGAACTGTGTGATTAAAGCCTGTATTTTGTAAATATTCAGACACTGGAGCTGATATTCACATCTGCCTGTAAAAGTCTCACTCTATTGTATTTGGCTGTTATGCTGTGTTAACAGTCCTCAGATTGTGTTGTGCTGTATAACTGAGCCTGGCTGTTGGACATACGCAGCTTGACGCTTGTTTTGCACGTTTTCTGGTAGCCATCTTTCGAACCATTACAGCAATCAAATGAAGACTTCTGATGTTGTATGCTATATGTATGTGATGTGCCATGCCTCCACGCAGCAGCTTTACACCTCAATATAACAAGATCATGAAACTTAAACAATACGAGACCTTTAACTTGGACCTACAGTATCACACCATTTTGTATGTACATCTCTGGAAGTTGTGGACTTTAAAGAACATGTCACATCCATTATTGACTTTATCTGAAAAAGGATCCTGAGCTCAGTTCAGTGTGGATTCTCAGCCTGCTACAGTGAGTCTTGGAGGGGAGCAAGTCTGCTACAGCTGATGATGACTGATTACCACCAACTTCATCCAGACAGAAGGAACAAATCAGTGTAATCAGCCGACTCTCATCTTCTCTGTCAGCGAGGATCTCGGATGTGACATTCAAGGAAAATTACGAGAGAGCGGAGGATATGCAGCTAATGACTTTGCTCACTGTAGCACTGACTGTACAGATGGTGATGCTCATTTATGCCTGCACAGGACTGAGGATGTTTTTTTGAAATGGGACGTGTGCATGGAAATGTTACCCAGGTGCTGCGAGATGATGATGATTGATGACATTATGGTGGACACATGAGACACATGTGAATTGATGGAATTTCTGTGGCAGATGATACAGATGTGGAACACGAGTGTTGTTTCCTTCAAAATACCCATATAAAGAGCACATGAACAAAATAAGATTTTGTCAGCAGGAGATGCATTGTTTAAATTTGTAACACTACATTACTGCCTGCAAATTATACAGTGTAATTATTTAGTATATAAGGAGTATCAGTATAATTCTTACTGCATACCTGCATTGAGGCACATACAGTATAGGACACAACTTTGTGTTTGAAAGAGAGTTAGAAATAAATTACACTGCAAATATTTATTTTATTAGAATTGATTTAATAATTACAGAGCACAGTAATTTATTACTGAGTAACAAGGCAGGAAAAATGGGGAGGGTGATCGATATTCCAACAAAATGAGTCTTGGCACCATTTATTTTAAAACTATAATATATTAACAAAACATGCTTACAAGAAGTGAGTTACAATGAGGGGGAAATTACAATATAAAAACTCCATTCATTATTATGGTGTTGGTGTGCCTCTGTAGCTGTAGCTATGAAATAGATGTGTCTGTGTTTTTAAAATGATAATAAAATACAGAGAAACATTTATATAGTTTTTGGCCACAGTGTGAGAACTACCTGACAATCAAAAATTGATGTTAGAGGAGAACCAAGATCAGCTTTTATGTCCCATCATATCACACAATAGAAAATTGAGGATATAATACATGTACTTTGACCCTAAAACAAACTGTGCTAAAGTTAATTAAGAATTTATAAATAAAACAAATGGCATGTCAAGATTTTATCACAAAAACAGAACAGGGAAAAACATGCATGGGGAATTCCTGCTGA